AGCTACTCAGGAGGCTGAGGCAGGAGAATCACTTCAACCCAGGAAGCGGAGGTTGCAGGGAGCCAAGATGGCACCATTGCTCTCCAGCCTGGGTAACAGAGTAAGACTCCATCTAAAAAATGAGATCTAATTTCATCTCATTTGTGTAATTTTTCCAAAGGTTTGAGATATAACCTCTGAATAGTTCTTATTTCATATCAGCAGCTTAAAATGAATCTAGTATCAACAAATTTATGACCCATCTGCTGAGCGGATCACTTCAATCTGTAACCCTGGCCATGCTACAGAGTTGGCAGCCACACGAAAATGTCCCTGGCAAACACTGTATCGGAATTTAGATTCCTCATGGGAATTAAAGTTAACTGTTAGATTTTAAAAGAGAATAAGACTATTATAACATTAAAGGTGAATTTAAATAACTTCAATAATTTTCAAATTATGGCCATAATCAAATGGCCATAATTTAAATAATTCAGGTTCATTCTTATCTTACATTGTAATACTCCTCCCGTGAATAAAACTGCTGCATCTTTAAGACTTATATCTTCTTTCCCCTAACATGGCATTAACTGACTTCCTGGACTGTTCTCACATTCACTGAAGGCTTTGGATCAGTCTTACTCTCCAGCCAAGCAGAACCAATCATTCATTCATTCATTTGTTCTCTCAATAAATAAATATTTATTTAGTATCTACTATATGTCAATCATTGTGTGCCTGGGGCCTAGAATGATTAGATGAAAGGCATAGACCCTTCCTCTGGTGGCTGGAGAGGACAAGCAGATATTCAGCTCCACTATTCAGCTAGTATGCATTTGTATGAAACAGTGGTTTTTATTTATTTATTTTTGAGATGGAGTCTTGCTCTGTTGCCTAGGCTGGAGTGCAGTGGCATGATCTCGGCTCACTGCAACCTCTGCCTCCCAGATTCAAACAATTCCTTTGCCTCAGCCTCCCAAGAAGCTGGAATTACAGGCATCAACCACCTCACCTGGCTAATTTGTTGATGTTGTTGTTGTTTGGTAGAAAAGGGGTTTTGCCATGTTGGCCAGGTTAATCTTGAACTCCTGACCTCAAATGATCCACCGGCCTTGGCCTCCCAAAGTGCTGGGATTACAGGCATGAACCACCACACCAGGCCACAACTGGTTTTCAATTTGCCCCTGAAAAAAGTCAAGTGCCTTAATAGTGACAACCCTTTCCAAACACACCATCTGTTCTTTCGTGCCTCAGAGCCTTTGCACAGGTTTGCCCTACCTACAATATCTGTTCCCCTTATTCACCTAGTTAATGCATGGTAATTCTTAAACCTCAATTCATAACACATCTGATTCAGTATTTTGGAATAATAACCAAAAAAGAAGATAATTCAATAGCAAGCCAAAGATTGTGCAAAAATACTTGCAATGCATATAGACAAAAGACATATACAAATCATGTAAAAATCCCTTGCTACTCAACAATAAGACAAACAATATAAGAAAATGGGCAAATTATTTGAACTTACTTCACAGTAGAAAATATAGAAATGCCAATAAGCACCTGAAAAATGTTCAACATCATTAGTGATAAGGGAAATGTAAATTAAAGCCAAAATGAGATACCACTTTACACCCATTAGAATGGCAAAAA